CATTCCATAGCAATGCTAGATGTATAATTAAGAGAAATGAAAATACATGTCCACACAATAACTTGTTTTTTTTTTTTTTCTGAGATGGAGTCTCACTCTGTTACCTAGGCTGGAGTGCAGTAGCACGATTTCGGCTCACTGCAATCTCCGTCTCCCGGGTTCAAGCAATTCTCCTGCCTCAGCCTCCCAAGTAGCTGGGATTACAGGTGCACACCACCATGCCCGGCTAATTTTTGTATTTTTAGTAGAGATGGAGTTTTGCCATGTTGGCCAGGCAGGTCTTGAACTTCTGACCTCAAGTGATCTGCCCGCCTCGGCCTCCCAAAGTCCTGCTGGGATTACAGGAGTGAGCCACCGTGCCTGACCAAGAACTTGTACATGAATGTTCATAACAGCATTATTCATTATGGCCACAAATAATTAATATATTATCAACAAATGATTAACAAAATGTGATATATCTATGCAATGGGATAATATTAGGCAATGAAAAGGAGTGAAGTACTGTTGCATGCTACCACATGAATGAATCTTGAAAACATGCTAACTGAAAAAGCCAAGCATAAAGACCACATGTTTTATGATTCCATTGATATGAAATGTCCAGAATAGGCAAATCTGTAGACAGAGAAAGTAGATTAGTGGTTGTTTAGGACTAGAGGAGGTGGAGTGGAGAATGAGGAGTGACTGCTAATAGATGGATACATTTGGGTGACAAAATGTTATAAAATTAGATTGTGGTGATAGTCTCTGAATATACTAAAACCCATTGATTATAAACAGTAATTGGGTGAATTCTATGATCTGTGAATTATGTCTCAATAAAGCTGTTTAAAAACTTAAAAGTTAGAGCCGTTAAAACAAGACAAAATAAGGGCATATATTTCAATGTACTAATAGGTGTAATTGAAGTTCAGTGTGTTACTTTTCGTAGCCTCCAGTATAAAGATTTAGCATGGCTCTTTGGCAAGGGTACATGCATATCAGTACAGTGTTCAGATATTAAAAGCCTTTATTGAAGGAAATAAGAGAAGACCTGAATAAATGTGTAAAGATGTGAAGATGCAATGTTATAAAGACAACAATTCTCTGTAGATTTCCTAATAACGTAATGAATTCTCAGTCAAAACTCCAGCAAGACTTGCTTGTAATGTTATAATGACTAACTCTGAAATTCATAAATAAGAATGTAGGTGTGATAATAGCAATCTGACAAAAAGAGTATTTAATAAAGTAGAGAACTTGCCCCAATTGGCTTACAGGTCTCAGAAAGCCATGATAATAAAAATGGTGTGACTAGTGCAGAGAGAGGCAAATATGTGATGGAACAAAAGAATGCCCAAAAACAGACCTGTGCACATATGGAAAATTGCTGTGTGTAAGAGACAGCAGAATAATCCAGTATGTCAAAGTATCATAATTATGGAATCAACACATGTCAATGAGGAAATCAAGCAAGACGGTAAAACTGGTAACAGCATTTGGAGAACTGAGGAAAGAATAAGTGTTGAAATAAGGTTTGTTATGCACTAAACTGGTTAACCTCCAGCAAAGTAATAAAACCATAATCTTACCACACAGAAATTATTTGCATATCTACCAGATTAAAAAATCTACAAGTTAACATAATTTTACAGAGTGTAGGTTTTAATAGTAAATAGCAAGCCAAACAAAATATATACCCCCTAGGGAATTAAATGTTCCTTGGGTGGGCCTGTTGGACAGTGCTCCAAGATGACCTTGAGAGGACACGCAGTCTTCCTTTTGCCTAGTTTCCAAGCTGTTATAACAAGTAGATGAGTTATTTCTTGCTTATCCATGCAGGAAAGAATTAAATGTAGCTCAGACTGTACACAAAATGGATTCTAGATTATACTTGTGTGTTTGCAGTATTATTTTCTCTACTTTATGTATTTGAAGCATTTCTTATTAACAAAATGAGAAAATGCGTTCTTAAAACACTAGACAGTACTTTCAATAAATGAGTTAGGTCTATATCTAAAAAAATCCTGTTTAATAAAAAATTAGTTTGTGGCATGATATGCTTATTGTGATATTAACATAAATCTAGAAATACTATAGAATTTCTGTGACTTCATGTACATGTGTATACGAACATAAAGGACTAGAAGAATCTAAACCTTTATACCTTAGAAATGAGGAATAAAATGTAACATTATTTTATTAATAATTATTATATTCTGGTAAATTCAAGTCTGTTGTGTCAGGTAAAGATACAATAATTTTAGCTTTTGTTAACGGATTAATTTAGGCACAGTGATATTTTAGCTAGTTGGTTTGAGCACTGAGTGATTCCTAAACTGAGTATCATTAGAACACAAGCAGTTCAGTGTTCTTCCTAAGAAGTGGGAGGGGGAAACTTATGAAGTATTTAAAGAAGCAAGACAAATAAAATATTTCACTGGGACAAGTGGGAAGTTCCTAGTTAGAGGTGAGTTGGCGGTGTCTGATTGGCTTAGCTTAAGTTTCGTTTTCAGTGTTTACATTGAGTTGAGTTTCCATTTGCTTGTATAGGAACCATCTTTGCTGAATGGCCTCCCAATTCATTATTACTATTTTTATTTTTTGAGATAGAGTTTCACTCTTGTCACCCAGGCTGGAGTGCAGTAGCACAATCTTGGCTCACTGCATCCTCTGCCTCTCAGGTTCAAGTGATTCTCCTGTCTCAGCCTCCTGAGTAGCTGGGATTACAGGCACCCGCCACCATGCCTGGCTAATTTTTGTATTTTTATTAGAGATAGGGTTTCACCATGTTGGCCAGGCTGTTCTTAAACTCCTGACCTCAAGTAATCTGCCTGCCTCAACCTCCCAAAGTGCTGGGATTATAGGCGTGGGCCACCGTTCCCAGTCCCAATTATTTTAGCACTTTGAAACATATAATATTTACCTGGCACAACAAATTTATGTTTATATCTAGTGTGTTATGGCATGTCAAATCATTGGGGTAAAAGATGTGGTTTTTTAAAAAACAATCTTGGGAAACATGGCAAAAGATTAGGGAAAAAAATTACACAGCACTGTCTTGTACCATCTATTTAAATTATAAACAAATAAACAAACTACATATTGAAAAGTAAAACACAGGTAAAAGTATGTTATATAATCTTTGTAGAGGGAAGGTTTTTCTAAGTATGCCCTCAAAATCAGAGATGCTGAAGAAAAGAGTGATAGTTTTGACCAAACAAAAATTTCAGTATTGGGGAGACTTTTATTAAAGCTAAAGGCAAATGTGAAAAGGGGATATTTCAACAGTACATTTCAGAGACTGTGTGTTTCTAGTCCTTGAAAATGAGTCTGTAAGTGAACAAATGGGCAAGCACTCTTGCCAAATGGGTAGATAGCCTTTTCAGTGAGTCACTTCCTCTTTCCCTGCTTGTAAACGGAGCTGATGGTCACTGCCCAGAGTCTTATTTATGGAAGTGTTACCTGTATTCTCATAATAACAAGTTTTTGTGATGGAAATAACTTGTCTTCTAGTGACATTTCCTCTTACCTGTGGAGTTTTCTTCCCTCCCACCACCCACACCTAACCAGCCTTATAAGAACAACTTCAATCTTCCCCTACATGATGTGTAAAATTTAGGGAACTTGATATGTCCAAGATAAAAATGAATGTCTAGTCTAAAATATTAGAGTGCATTGGAAAGTCTGAACTTCCAAATGGGGGGTGGGGGGAACTCCACTTAATTGAGGGCACTATACTTATTTATTTATTTTTGAGATGGAGTTTCACTCTTGTCGCCCAGGCTGGAGTGCAACGGTGCGATCTTGGCTCACTGCAACCTCTGCCTCCTAGGTTCAAGCAATTCTCCTGTCTCAGCCTCCCGAGTAGCTGAGATTACAGGCATGCACCACCAGACCTGGCTAATTTTTGTATATTTAGTAGAGACGGAGTTTCACCATGTTGGTCAGGCTGGTCTCGAACTCCTCACCTCAGGTAATACACCCGCCTTGGCCTCCCAAAATGCTGAGATTACAGGCGTGAACCATTGCACCCATTGTACATCTTAGAATTAAAAACAAAACAACACACACACACACACACACACACAACTTCTCTTTTTTAATGACTCTGCCTTTTTTTTAAATGACTCTGGCTCTTCTCTGTGAGATGTGTACTGTTAAGGTGAGTGGAACTGGAAGGAGATTGGCAATTCTATTATAATACAGGGCAGGACTTACTCTTAAATTCTTTCTGGAAGTTTCCTTCTCTGAGTGGTCCTGCCCCCATGGTGTGTCTGTGAGGTATCTTTGGGTCAATAAACTGGCCTAAGATTCTGCAAGGCAGATTGGTCTTCACCTTCTTTATGTTACTTCAGCTTTCTGTGGTGTGTATTTAATGGGAAATTAGACAGTTTATTAAAAATAAAGTACCTTACAAAATAAGCACCCTTGCCTTCAGGAATGTATTTTTAGGAAATAATTAGGCAAGTGAGTAAAGGGGCTTATTACAGTAGTTTGTAATGCCAAAACTTTGGGAGTAACCTACATGCCTGAAAATGAGGTACTGGTAACAAATTATCGTATTTCTAGTCAGCAGAATGTTGCAGATGCTATGATAAAGCAACTCTGGATTTATTGAGAAGAAAAAATTCAGAATAATTCCTGTATGTAATCCATGATAACTGTATATGATAACCCATTGTAATACATAGCTTTAATAAAGTTTTATTAAAATATGTATAGATTTACTTGAGGAAAAAAACTGGAAGGACATATATAAGATACAATCCTATCTTTGGGTGGAGAGCTGTGGAGTAATTTCAGTTAACTTATTTTCTGTGTACTAGAATGAAAAAATAAGGTTATTAGGGCTGTATTTCAGGAATGTTTGACACACACAGTAGATTTTTGTTACTTGATTTTAAAAATTGATAAATATATAAAAATAATTGGAAGACTTGTGTAATTGCACTGATGTAGATTTTTCTCACAGGACAAAGAAATAAAAATCCTCACTCTGCCTTTTTAATTAACAGATCTTCTCACTCAGATATGGCAACAAGCAGTCTTCACTTTGCATCATGTGATACACAACAGGCACCCAGACAACGCGGAGCATCTACTGTGAACAGGTCAGGAAGGGTCGTGGGCATTCCTGGCGGAAGAGGGGGGAACAGTCCAACCCTTGAAGGAGTAGAATACTGATATTTGCATAGTGCATTGTGTTTGACAAACCAGTGAGGTCAGGAGACGCCTAGGCAAGTAGAGTGCCCATTTTATAAATCAGGGAAGGAGAAACGGTGGCTGCTCAGGGACTCAGTGAATAGGTGGCACTGTTACATGAAAGCAAAACAAAATTCAACTTTGGGGCACAACTCCGTTTCCAGTCTTTTTTGTCTTTAAATATTTTTGGCAGTTATTTTTATTATAAAATAGTAAATCACACTGCCAGACATTGGGGAAAATGGAGGAAAGGACAAACATGAACCATAATTATGGCCACTTGAACACAGAATTTTGGTGTATTTCCTTCCAGTCTTTTTCCTAGGCATGTGCTTCTTGATACAGTTGTAACCATAATAGACTTTTTCATCAAATATTGTATTATGATTGTTTCTTTCTTACATTTTTTGCATAATCTTGGTTTAAAAATACATTTTAAGAAGTGTTAATTGTAGAAAATTCAGAGCTATAGAAAGCACAAAGAAAATGAAATATGTATTACTATAATCCTAATTATTTTTGTGTGCATTCTTTTTCTCTTCATATGTAGAGATATTAAATTTTTTTCTTAATTGGGATCATATTAAATATACTGTTCAGTAATCTACTTTTTAAAACTTAATATATCACGATATTTTCCTCTTCCATTAGATATTTTCCTGTGATATCATACTTGATTAATTTTTGTTCCTTTCCAGATCATTTAGAATTAACAGATTCTCTCTTTGAACATGAAGGTTGTTTTTTGTGAGTTATTAAGGCAGCTCTGTTAAAGCTGTTTTAGTACATGAGAAAGCACTTTTCATCCATCCTTAGAGGTTTATTAAACTTTTAAGATTATACAGCAGATCCTTAGCAGTTTGGATTTTGCATTTGAAATTTCAGCTCTGCATGTGTTCTTTATACTCATGAGTTTGGTAGTTTGTCTTAGAATTCTACTCACGGAATATACAGAAGAGGTTGCAGAATGGAGATGAAGTTGAAAATAACTTCTAAGTATCTTAAGGCATTTGTTTTCCATATCTTTTTTTACTGTGTATGTCCCTGCTCATGGAATTTTGTGTTTTCTTCAAAACGTGCTCTTCCTTCATAGTTATCCTCTAACTCATCCCATGGTTTCCTAAGTAACGACTTTATAATGCTGAGTTTGAAAGCTATAATAAAATAAAAATTACTGAAAGCGATAATAAATAAGGGCATGATATGCATAGTCAGCAACAAGCTGCATCTGTAGACTGGAAGTCTTTAGCATGCACGTAGTCGTTGAAGTGATAAACCACACCTGTATTTCCCAGAGAGCCATACCAAAAGAGAAGAGAATGGAGGAAGGAACCTTTGGGAACACAGAACATTGAAGGATGGCTGAGACAATGACAGTTCAAACAAGAGCTACATAGATGTGTGAGAGAGGAAGACTCTATGAGTTGGTGGCCACAGGACAGGCAAGGGACTTGGGGGAGGGGTGAGTTCTGGAATGCAGTCAGCAGAGCCAGGTGTGGCAAAGAGGTCCTCATGGATACGGGTGAAAAAGTATCCTTTGCATTTCATAGTTAGGTCATTGGACACCTTTAGCTCATAAGATTTCAGGGAAGTTGAGGCAGGAGTCAGGCTGCAGGGCTAAAGATCAATGGGAGGTGGGGAAGTAGGGAGAGTGAGCATCAGTTCTTTTTTGAAGCTCTTGCCTATGAAAAGAAGGAGTGGGAGAAGGGTGCGTTAGGAGAGAAAGCAAGATTGAGGGAGTTACCTTTCTTGCTGGTTTTACTTTAAATAGAAATGAATGAGGTTTGTGTATATTTCTGAGTTGGGAAGGAGTCAGAGAGGAAAAGATTAAAGCTACATAAAAGGAAGTGGAGGTCAAATATAAGAAATAATTGAGAAGTGTTTTCATGATAGCACAGGGTGGGCATCCCTAATCCAAAGATCCAAAATACTCCAGTGAACATTTTTTTTTTTTTTTTTGGTGTCATGGGGGGGCTCAAAAAGTTTCAGATTTTGGAGCATTTCAGTTTTGGATTTTCACATTAGGGATGCTCAACCTGTATTCACATTTGCAGTTTTCATAGTCTTTTTCTTTTTAATAACTAAATAATAGACATTCTCACTCTGCCTTTTGATTAATAGGTCTTCTAATGCATGTATCAAAGCAAGCCCTTATAAATGTAATGTGGAGCAGCCTAAAAGGACACTTGCAAAGTGGAGGAAGCTTGGATGTAGACAAGAAATGTGGCTCTTATGGAGTTAGTCTGAACAGAAAATGATAATGCCATACCTCATATGTTACTCCTTCTGGTACTCCTCACTCCACAAATAGCTATTTGCTTCTTAACACAAAGTTGTGAGGCAGCCAAGGAGGGAGTTTGAGTCACCATTTAACAAGTGAGACACCCTGGGTGTCAACTGACATAGCCAAGTGCCACGGCCAGGCAGTGGTGGCATTACATCTTGATGCTCCTCCTTCTCATTTCTGGGCCAGTGCACGTTTAAGAACCTCATTTGCCTCCTTGCTTATAATCCCGTTCACTTGTTTAGTCTTACAAAGTGTTTTGACAACCATGGTTTCTTTTGATTCTCCCTCCAACCTTGAAAGAGCCAAGAGAGAATCTTCCCACAAATGGATCCTCATATCCAGAGAAGTACATGATCAGCTAAAATGCCTTGTCACTCTGAAATTCTTGGAGTTAGAATTTCCTGCCAGTGTCCTTTCAGGTCACCAAAGTGACAAACTTTAAGACATTTGACAGTTTTGTGTTCATCACTTCAAATCTGTTTATAAACTAGTTGTTGAAACAACTGTGTTAAGGTCACTTTGGAAAAGTGAGGAAAGACTCGGCACACTGGCCAGAGCTTTGTCATCACTTTACTTTCTCCTCTTACTACATCTCTTCATTGGAGGTGGGAGACATATTGTTGGCTCATCAAATATGTATTTTTCCATAGGAAACAGACTGAACACAAGGTTGCTCAATTTACAGTCTCTAAGTTAAAGTGTGTCTTTTTGATTTACTTGAGAAAGTCATCAAAACAGAACAGGGGTCTACGGCCTCAGAATTAAAGGAACGGAGAGAAAACCTTTCATAGACTTCTTTATACTTCACTTACCAAGCCTAGATATGTCAGCCCAGTGTGGATACAGAGTGTTGGTAGCTTTAGTTACCAAATCAAGGTTGGCGTTGGGATATCCCAGAATTACATAGGGAGTTCTGGCTGCTCAGGAGACTGAGTTCCAGAGACTGGTTTAGTGGGATGAGGTGTCCACATGGCTCAATCATGAAGGTTATGGCAAAATGTTGGCCAAGGGCTTATAAGAGAAGAGGATGACTCTCCCTTGGATTGGTTAGTAAAGAATTCAGTATAGAGGGAGTTGTTTAATGAGTATGGAGTTTCAGTTTTGTAAGATGAAAAAGTTCTAAAGATTGAAGTGATGAACCACACCTGTTCGGTTCACACAGTGTGAATATACTTAACACCACTGAGCTGTGTGCTTTAAAATGGTTAAGATGATAATTAATTTTATGCTGTATATATTTTACCACTATTAAAAAAAAGAATGCAGGACAGATTGCCGAGCTGTTATTACATAGAGTTAAGCCTAGCTTTTACCTCCTTTGTGTTAGAAGAGTGCCAGGTGTATTTTCCATGCCATTACCACATGTATACCATTCCCTCTCGGAACAATCCCTCTTAGTTTAACAACTACAACAACAAAAACCCTTGACTGAGCTCGGGAAAGCCGAGGCAAGTTTTTGGGAATACATCCCACCTTCTCACTGTACTTATGTTACCCTGTCTTGCTTCTTCCTAATTCATTTAGCCTTCGCCTAATGATCTGGCTTAGTTGCTTAACCAGAGTAGTCACCAGTGTTTGCCGAGAAGTCGTTTCAAAATAAGTTATTTTTATTAGAGACATATTGTGCAATGTAAAAGTATTACCATATGTAACAATGCAATACTAAAAAGCAGCTTATTATAATTGTGCTTATTAACAAAAAAAATCAGGATAGGAAGGAGGGGCATTAAGGTATAATAATTTAAATGAATTTATATATCATGCTTTGGTTATATAGACTAAGTGCTTTTTTTAAAAAAAGAACAAAACCCAACTCTTTCTGTTAATTAACAGATCTACTAAAGTAGACATAACTTGACACACTGTGGCACCACAGGGGTGGCTCTGGGTCAGAACTCTGCTATTCTGGGGCCTAGACGCAGAGACCCCTGGCACCCAAGGCCTCAGTTCTGATGCCATTCTCTGACAAAAGAAACCAAGGCTCCTGGCTGATTCCAGCACCAGGGCCGGGAAAGTACGAGATGAACCTAGAAGATCTTGTGCCAGAAAGTAAAGAATTGCTGGGAAAAAGGACAGGGCTTGTCGAAAGAACACGGGAGCAACATAAAGGAGCTTCCAATTGCCAAATCTGGGAAAATTTGAGAAAGAAAATAAATAATGACTGTAATGAGTTATATAGTCCACAGAATGAATTAATAGCGATGTGTTTATAGTATATAAATAATTGGGTAAACATGTCAGTGGTAGGAGGGAGAGCTCTTCCCTATATTCATTCTGACTAATGTGGAAGAAATGACGGGAACAGAAAATTGCTGTTTGACAAACCACAATGGTAATGGGTACAGACAAGAACACTCAAGTTAGGGGGCAATGTGTGTTGTGAAATGGGGTATCTGCAGAGTGTTGAGAACCTCCCCTGAAGATGCTTAGTGACTCCCAAGGGAACAGTATTAACCTCACATTAGAGACCACCCTAGCTATGCGGTCGTCACCAGAAACAAGCTGTGCATGCAGCTCATAGCCCTGATACCATGCACTGAGAACACGGCATCACTGCTGTGGTTTTCTTGCCCATCATGTCTCTTGTCCAAGTACTAACCAGACGCGACCCTGCTTAGCTTC